TGTCGATAATTTGTTCAAAGAAAGAAAACGCGCCAAATCTTTTAACAAATTGAGAAAACATTAAATTTATCAAACCAAACCTAACATTAACAAGAATCTTGAAAATACCACATTGATCATATTAGAATTCTGTCGATAATTTGGTCGAAGAAAGAAAACGCGCCAAATCTTTTAACAAATTGAGAGAACATTAAATTTATCAAACCAAACCTAACACAAACAAGAATCTTGAAAATACCACATTGATCATATTAGAATTCTGTCGATAATTTGGTCGAAGAAAGAAAACGCGCCAAATCATTTCATGAATTGAAAAAATGACAAATTTCAACTTAATATGAATAAGAATTTCACAAACGCTGATACAATTCACATTGATCATATTAGAATTGGGTCGATAATTTGGTCGAAGATAGAAAACGCGCCAAATATTTTCACGGATAGTGGAAATATTCAAATTCAACAAAACAAACCTAACATGAACAAGAATCTTGAAAATACAAATNGATCATATCAGAATAGTGTCGATAATTTGGTCGAAGAAAGAAATGGCGCCAAACATTGTCATGAATTGAGAAAACATTAAATTTATCAAACCAAACATAACATTAACAAGAATCTTGAAAATACCACATTGATCATATTAGAATTCTGTCGATAATTTGGTCGAAGAAAGAAAACGCGCCAAATCATTTCATGAATTGAAAAAATGACAAATTTCAACTTAATATGAATAAGAATTTCACAAACGCTGATACAATTCACATTGATCATATTAGAATTGGGTCGATAATTTGGTCGAAGATAGAAAACGCGCCAAATCCATCCAGGAATATTAAAAACGTTAAATTTACCAAACCAAACCTAACAAAACAAGAATCTTGAAAATACAAATACAATCCACATTGACCATATTAGAATTGTGTCGATAATTTGTTCAAAGTATGAAAACGCGCCAAATCTTTTGCATGATTCTTGTTCATGTTAGATTTGTTATGGTAAAATTGAAAGAACGAATGGACTTTTCTTTACTTGAAAAATTGTCCACATGATCCCTATGTGATTAATATGGATCATTTTATAATTCCTATTTATGTTAGGTTTGTTTCTTTGAATTTAGCGTTTTCACTATTCGTGAAATGATTTGGCACCTTTTCTTTTGTAATGTTCGGTTTATCATTCCCTTGATTCCCAATTCATATATTTGATATCGATTTAACAAATCAAAATGTAATATTAACTTTTAAATTGAATTAAACACACACTTTGAAAAAATTGAATTCCATTTTTAACAAATTCTTTTATTTTTATTAATGAATTGAATTGTTACATATCAAAGATTCAATTCCAATTATCGATTATAACCAAAAAATTTACATCTTAATCATTAGCATCAATTCTAATTAATTTTCGTGATAAAATCTCATCGGAATCACTGTCGGATACATTTTTTTAGCAGAATTACCGAATTCCATCATTCGATTGTTTTCGCTTTTCAATTTTGAATAGTGTTAACCAACGTTGAAGAATGTCATTCAAAATTGGAGAGTATTGTGTTGAAGAGTACTCTCCAATTTTGAGCAATGCTTACCAACGTTGAACAGTGCTCTCCACAATGCTCTCCAAATTTGGCTAACACTCTTCAACCTTGGTAAACACTCATCAAAATTGAAGGAAAAAACNTATTAACTTTTAAATTGAATTCCATTTTTAACAAATTCTTTTATTTTTATTAATGAATTGAATTGTTACATATCAAAGATTCAATTCCAATTATCGATTATAACCAAAAAATTTACATCTTAATCATTAGCATCAATTCTAATTAATTTTCGTGATAAAATCTCATCGGAATCACTGTCGGATACATTTTTTTAGCAGAATTACCGAATTCCATCATTCGATTGTTTTCGCTTTTCAATTTTGAATAGTGTTAACCAACGTTGAAGAATGTCATTCAAAATTGGAGAGTATTGTGTTGAAGAGTACTCTCCAATTTTGAGCAATGCTTACCAACATTGAAGAACGCTATTCCAAATTGGAGAGTATTGATTGGAGAGTACTCTCCAATTTTGAGCAATGCTTACCAACGTTGAACAGTGCTCTCCACAATGCTCTCCAAATTTGGCTAACACTCTTCAACCTTGATAAACACTCATCAAAATTGAAGGAAAAAACCTTCAATTTTGAAGAGTACTCTCCTTACTTTTTTTTGTGTGCGATATATCGAATCGAATGTTCGAATTTTCGAATGTTTGTATGAATGATGATAATTTGTTCGATTGATGGATCGATCGATCATTGATAAATGATGTTCATTAAAATAAATTTTGAATATATAAAAATTTAGTGAGAATCCATCGATGGTAAGATAAATTTTTTTGTAAAAACAAATTAACAGCTGCATTTTTTCATTTACTTTCGGTTTTTTTTCCTGTGGTGGAACTTTCATTCGGTTTTTCTTTTCTTTTTCCACTAATGGACTGGGGTAAGAAATGAAAATTGAAAAATCATTTTTTTTCTGTTTCCACTGAAAACATGATGTCTAAACATATAAATCATCATCATCATCATCATCATCATAATGATGTATGGTCAGTTGTTGTTGTTGTTGTTTTCAAAATGACCAAATTTAACAACAACAACAATGATGATGACGACAACCTGTGGATTTTACTTTATTATCATCATCATCATCATCGGATCATCCACTGGATAAAGATAATGATGTTTTTTTTTACTCCAATCCAGCGTTTTTGGACATCGAAAAGATTGATTGATTGATTGATAAAAATGATGATGATTTTTTGCGGATTCAATCATCATCATCATCGGAAATATTGTTTTGATTACATTACACAAAACACTGTGCGGTGATATATTGGGAGAAAAAAACGTGAATCAATTTTTGCAGATTAACATTTTTTTTCATTTCATTTCGGGGGAAATTTCCTTCATTTTCTTTCTCCCAAGTCGGTTTGTTTGTTTATTTGTCTTATCGATTATATCGATGATATAATCGATATTTTCGATGATGATGATGATGATGAAAATATACCTCGATATTGATATCTTATCTTAGATATTATCTCTAACCATCGTTGATGATGATCATCGTCGATGATGATGATATTTGAACAAAATGATGTTCATGATGATGATGAATAGATGATGCATGGTGCGAATTGTAAAATATACATTTTTTTCTTCTCAACATTTTTGAAAATGAAAATTAAATGAGCTTGTTGATGATCATCATCATCATCGAAATCTTCGAAGATATTTCTTCTTAACAGTTTTTTTTTTGGATAGATGTTTGAACAAACAAACAAGAAAGAAAGTTGATGAAATGACCTATTAAATAGGCCCATTAAAATCATTGATTGAATCATGACCGAAAACATGCCAAAAAACAACAAACAAACAAACAAACATTTGTGTGATTTTTTTTTTGCTTTTCGCTAAATTTATGTGAATGAAAATATGTTTTTGGAAAACACAAGAACAGAGAGAGAGAGAGAGAGAGAGAGAGAGAGAGCAGAAGAACAGAAAAGCTTGAATCAAATCAACACCATTTTTTTCCCGTTTGTTTTGTTTTGGCCAGAAAAAAAACATCGAAAAAGATTTCCAATGATGATGATCGAATGTTTTTTGTTTGTTTGTTTGAAGAACAAAAAAAAAACATTCGATTCTATTTCGGTCAATCGACGACTATTTTAACAACAGTGTGTGTATGTGTGTGTGACAAATACTAATTGAGCGGATGTTTATATAAAAAGTTTAAAGAAAAAGAAAAAAAAAATTGTTGTTGTTGTTTCACAAAAAGAGGAGGAAATGTTATGTAAAATGGTTTTGTAAAATGGAAATTTTTTTTTTAGAAATTCGAATTTCTATTCGAATTTTTTTGTTGTTCGAATATTCGATTATAAAATAAAGCGTCATTGTCGATTTGTAGTTCATCTTCTTTTCAGATCATCTTGTTTAGTATTTTATCATTTCGATTGAATATAATTCAGTGATCTTCTTCAACAAAAAAATCATATTCGACGCTTCAAGATGGTTTGGCGGATTATCCATGGAGTGACAATGTGGTTTATGAAACCATCATTCGATGAAAAATGTATAAAAAAAATTAAAATAATAAAATAAAAAATTCAAAAATTGGTCAAGTTATGGAAATAGAAAACTATAACTTTCTTATAATATATTCGTTGTTATATAAATTTAATTAATTATAATTCAATTCAAAACCATCATGTTCAACACACACACACACACTAACCAACCAAGTTTTTATAAAAACAAAAAAATTCATTTTCTATTAAAATTTCTATTTATTATTTTTTTGTATTAAAAAAAAGTTTCTTTTTTTATTATATTTTGTTTCTTTTTTAAATTTTGTGCAAAAAAATTCACACGAGAAATGTACATAATTATCTCAAACAACTATTTTCACCCATAGAAAAATTATTTGTTCTTTGAATGTTGATTATTGATGATTTTTTTTTTGAAAGATAATTGTATCTGGGAACCAAATGGAAACCGGAGGTTGACGAGTATTTCATTGAAACGACAGAAAAATTGGAAATTTCTTATAAGGGAAAAATAATACCAAAAATATTATTATCATAATGATAAATATTAAAAAACCGATTGCCGACGTAAAAAACAATGTCCCATGTGTTTGCACGATTTAGATTCATTTGTTCATTATTTTCTCTAAGTTTTCTCTATTTGTAGAGAAAGTATTGAATTCTTCCATAGATTTTTTAAAAAATTCCACATTATCATCATTGTCCTAAAATTATTGATAGATATTATCAAAAAAAAAAAAAAAAAAAAAAAAAAAAAAAAAAAAAAAAAATAGAAAAATTATGAATTTAGAAAAAAGGATGAACTTACGTCTTTCATTTTAGGTTTGTTTTAACAACGAATGAACGATGAACAATGATGACACAATAGTAATGAATGAAGGCATTTCGATTTCAAGATATTTTTATATAAGCTTTTCGTTTTTACGTATATGCATCGTCTCATCCAATGTCCAAATGATTTTCATAAATTATGTTACGACTTTTTAAAATTTAGCGATAACTGCAGTTATTTTCTTGGCAAAAGTAATGAAATTAATGTTGATGCAGCTGCCATCTGTAATGATTGATTTGAATTATCATCATTATTATCTTTTTTATGTGGAAATTGAATAAATGTTGTTAAAATAGCTGCCGAACCATCAAATGTTGGTTCTAATGATACTAAAGGCATCCGTGGTGATGGACGTTTTCGATTATTCATAATCGATTGTTCTTGTTTGTTTATCATTGTCCGTGAATATTCGGGATAAATTTTTTTCGGTGATTCTTTAAAATTTGCTGTTAATTGATGAAAAATTGTTCGATGACGTTGTTTCGAAGATGATGATGGTGGTGTGATTGATTCTTGATTGTATGGACGGAATCCAATCAACGATTCTGAATCATCAAGGTAACGTTTATCATTATTATCATCGTTATCGTTATCCAATAAAATAGTAATCGTTGCCATTGGTCTATTAGCCATTAATTGTAATTCCATTTGTTGTAATTGTCTTGTATGATGAATAAAGATTATTTGTTTTAAACGCCAAAACATTATCGACATCGAAAGGAATAGAAAAAAACATGAAATAAATACACAGAAAAATATAAATAAATCAATACGACTTTGATCTTGTCGAACGACAATATTTGCTTGATTTTTATCAATGAAATCGCCATCGGTATCGTTAAGAAACGAACCATAAATCATTAGATAATAACGTGTTGTACGTAGATCATGATAACGATACGGTATAGTTATTTCTAAACGATTTTGAACATTTTTTACAATGAAAATTTCATACCAATTTTTCATTGTAAAATATGATGATTCGGATGATAATTCGTTCAAATTGATTAATGTCATTTTATATGGTGATTTTATCGTCGATGTTTGATCTGATGATTTTGATGAAGAATTATTAAAATCAATCAGTTTATCAATTTCCACATGATCGATTGTTGATGATTCATTTTGATCATAATCAATATATTTTTTATCAATGAAAATCTGATGAAATCCATTCAATGGATCATTCTGGATGATGAATATATCCTCTTTTGATGCCATATATAAATCAATCATACCATCAACATTGAATATGATTAATTTTAAATCAACATTCATATATCTTGGTTGTATGGCAAAAAATATTGTTCGACCCAATAATAATTGATTCTGTTCTGGATTCTGTTGTTGTTGTTGTTGTTGATCAATAATACAATTTTCCTGCCGTATTGAATTCAAACAATATTCTTTATCCAAAAACATATGACGATAACATTGATGTCCATTCGATGGTTGTCCATAAAAATAATCTTTACATTTTGTACATTGTAACATCCAACATGGTAATGAATATGTTGTCATTATTTGTGATGATTTAAAATAATATGTTTTATTTATATAATTACTATATTCTTTCGTTGTTAAATAATTACATTGACGATCATTTTCAGTATTATTATGACAATCACAATTTTCACCATTAAATGGATTACACAGTGATCCATGATTATTACACATACATTGACGACAACCATCATGAATATTATCACTTATCTTGAAATAACCTAATTTACAATGTTCACATTGATTACCATCGGTATTATTTTTACAATTTATACATTTTGTTATTGCGGGTGATATTGGTCCATGTCGAATAATTTCCATTCCAAATTTGAACCATTGTGTATCATTAAATTCATTCAATTCCGTGGTTGTTAAATTTGATAAATCTTCTTGTGAAAAACATAATTCAGAATGATTATGACAAAATTCTGAACATGATTGACATTTTTCACCTGGTTTTGTTGGATTACCAATAAAAAATGGTTTACATTGTTCACATGATTTACCTTGTGTATTATTTTCACAATGAATACATTCATATCGTCGATCAGATGATGGACATAAACTATGACCATTACATTGACATTCAATTGAACAATCATGGCCAATATAACCAAAATTACATTGACAAATATTTGGTTCAATACATTGGCCATTCAGACAACCTTGTTGACATATTGGTTTACAAACAACAACACCATTATCATTAAACATTCGATAACCATTTTTACATTGACACATAAAACCATCAATAAGATCAATACATATTTGTGATTTTTGATTACAATTATGATGACCATTTAAACATTCATTTTCATTGGGTGATTTTAAATAATACCATGATGTTTTCCATAATTTCATCGGAACATAATATGATTTATGTTTTAATTGACTTAATAAATCGATTGATTGATTTGAACAATGACGATATTTTGGTCCTTGAAGATCACCTTGTAAACAAAAACCAACACCATCAATAGGTAGACCATCAACGGCACACCAACCACAATGTAACATTGATAAACAATCATTAGCTTTTTCAAATGTTTCACATTCAGCTGGACATTGATGTTGATGATCATCATCATCATTCGGTTGAAGACGATAAATAAAACCACCACATTGATGATTTTGTTGACATTTAATTGTTGAATATATTGATGACATACATTCACCAGTTAATTCTGACCATAAACATTCATGACTACCACTTTCATCACCAAATGTTTCTTCTAAACAACTTTGACATGAATAATATTGGCTACAACGTTTTGGACATTTTAATGGTGGTATTGTTGGTACATTTTTCATTACCGAAAATCGAATAATCGATGATTCAATACAAGCCCAATCAAAAATTGGATTTGTTGGCATTGCTAGATGATGACCAAATCGTATAAATTTATAAACCTGTTTTGTCCATATACAACCATTATCATCACCAATTTGATGATTAAATGACAACGATGATAATGATAATGATAATCGACGTTCCTGATTAATCAATAAACAATGTTGACAATCAGTAGCCAAACATCGTCTTGTTGAACAATGTTTCATTTCAATAATGCTTATATTTTGGCATATTGTTGTTGATCCAGTTCCAGTTCCAATACCAATCGATGTAACAAATTCATTATTATGATATGAATGATCGTTATCATCATCATCCCATTGTTGACATGTATCATTCATTTTAATACAATGTCCATTTGCCATATGACAATCGGCACACCATTGACATCCACCACCATTATCATCTTGGAATTCATAATTAACCGTTGTACAATCAACACAATTTGTAAATTGATTACATTCTTTTCTACCATTGATACAACCAACAGATGTTTCATTCAATATTTCGAAACAATCAAATTTTACCGCCGCCGCTAAAGATTGATCAAAACAAATTCCTGATGTTGAAGAAGAAGAATTTCTTCGACAATATGAACAACCATTTGTAGATAAACATTGTGTTTGATCATTGGAAAAAAATTCACAAAAATCTTTAGGTAATTGTATCTTTTCAATCGACCACGGTTGATTCTTTGTTGTTGCCGATGATGATTCATATCGATATAATATTCTTTGATTATCAATAGTTATTGACCATGATGATCCTTGAATCGAATGACGATGACGATTGTTTAAAATCGATACATTCGACCATGATGAAGAAGAAACATTTTGAATGGCAATCCAACGATTACATTTATAAAAATATGCATACGATATTGGATCATCATGATTATTTGCCATCATTCTATCACCACCACCACCACTACCACGATAATTGATTACTTTTTTACCACCAAATATTAGCATATAATTCGGTAATGTAAAAGCTTGATGCAGATATAATGGTATGATTGAATTTAAAACACTACGTGGTTGTATACGATGCCATATGAATTGATTATTTGGATTCGAATGATGAAAATCAAGTTGATAAATAGTATTTGAAATAGCCCATTTATGTGATTCTTTAAAATCTAAACCACCAAATATAAAAATTTTACCACTTTCATGATGATAAACAGTTGAATGACCAATAATACCTAATGGTGATGATCCTTTTGTTTTCAATAATATCCATTGATTTTCTTTCATTAGATAAACATATTGATTGGATGAATAACCATTTTGTGGTGAATAACCACCAATTAAAATCAAAGCATCTTGTTTTGATTGACCAAGTTGAATTCCAGTTAATGTATGACCAATTAATGGTGGTGGTTTCGAATCGGCGGCTGTCAAATTGATCCATTTGATTAAATTATTTTGATCATGATCAAATATGAATGAAGCTGACCAAAATTCCACCAAAACTTGATTAGTATGCAAATCAACGCCACCATAAACATAAAGTTTATCATCGATCATTGTTGATGCATGAAGATAACGATTTGTGGGAAAATTTTTTCCATTCTGGTTATCTAGTTGAATCCAACGATCATCATCGAATGAATATAATGTTAAACAAAGATTCAAGGTATGAATATGACCACCAATAAATATTAGATGATTATTAAAATATTCAAGTTGATGAGAATTTTGTGGCCATTTTGCATCATTTGATGATGAATTATTTTCCATCGATTGATATGATGCATTGAATCCTTGCTGCTGTTCAAAGTTGTAATCAGTTTTATAAAGTATGGTTGCAATACCAGTATTGGCAATCAATTTTAAATCATTCGACTGCTGCTGTTGACCACAAATTGATGCTAAAATTCGATATTGATTCGACAGTGATTTTTGATTTTGTAGAATAAAATCCGGCACACCATCGTAAATGATCAATGTACTGTGTGAACAATTTAATTTCCATAATTTGAATATGGTAATTTGCAATGATGGCTGATTCCTCAACGAATGATAATCAGGACCAGTCGATATAATCCACATACAATGATGATGATTGATTGTTGATGATGATTCGATTTTTTTCATTTTCGATACATATGATCGTTGATATGATCCAAAATAACCAAATGTTGCATTCAAAATCAATGCTTTATTTTGACATTGTTCGAAACAAATACCACCATTTTTTGGTTGACCATAATAACCGGTTGAACAACGATTACAATTCGATCCTTCAGTATTATTCCGGCAAAAACAATAACCATTTTTTGGATGACATATTCCACGTTCATGATCACCATGTCCATTACAATCACAAGGTAAACATCGACCATTACCAACAACTGAATTATCTTCATAAGTTCCTATTGCACATTTTGTTTCACGTTTAAAAACATTATGATAATGATGATGATCAAAATCTAATCTTTTCATCATTATGGTTCGTATTGGTAATCGTATAATATGATCAATAAAATTATTGTTAACAAATGACAGATCAAATGTTGAATTGAGCAAATTATTATCATTATTACCATTACGAAGATAAATACGAAGAATATTATTATCAAATGTTTGTGATCCAAGTGGATGATGTATGAAACCGAAAATTCGTATCATTTGTTCTGAATGGAAAATTGTTGATCGTTGTTTTTCGATTATCATCTCATCTGGCATCGAAATATTTGGCACATTAAAATATTTACATATGGTCGATTCGGATGAATTCTGATGACCATGATCATCATAGATGCTATGATTTATCTTTGTGACTAGAATTTCATCACGAATTTGGCCATAATATCCACCAAAAATGAATAGAAAATTCTTTCGTCGTATCATTGTATGTGATGATATTGATTTGAATGGAAATTGATTATGATCATCATACATAGTCCAATATCGATATTTCAATGAAAACAAATAGATTTTTGTACCATCATCATCATCCTTATTATCACAATCATTTTCAATGAATCCACCAAAAATCATTAGATAATCATTATCGAGAAGTAACATTGAATGTAATGCACGTTTTCGTGGAATAAGATTTTGATCATGATAACGATAACGTATTATGGACCAATAATTATCATCAACATTATATTGATATAATGTATTTTGTAGTTGATTATTATTCATATCGATTCCACCAAATATCAATATTGAACGATTATAAAAAATGGCAGTATGTGCTGCTAATTTTCTTCCTTTGTTCAACGATTCCCATTGATTATTCAATGATGATAAAAGATTAATTCGATAAATATTGGATGAAATTGATGAATTTTCAAAACGACCACCATGAATATAAAGCCATTGTTGATCAACAATAATTGCTACATGAAATGCAATCGGTGGAATTTGAAATATTGTTTGCGGCTGAATCCAATAACGTTCAACAAGATTATAAATCCAAATATCATTAAATTGATGACCATCGGCACCGATTCCACCGAATATTATCAATGAATTGTTAACGATATTCATTGTATGACCCCAACGTGGTTTTGGTTGTTTATAATTTGTACGATAATTGTTGTAAGTATTTTTGTTGTTATTAATATCACAGTCAGTTAAATTGATCCATTCATTTTTTGTTATTGAATATGATAATAGATCAGAATGAATTGTTTCATAATTACGTCCACCAAATATATAGATTTGATCGGTACGATCATCATAAACTGATGCATGTGATGCACGAGCAGAAAATAATTGATGATTGGAAAATAATTTTGTCCATTTGGATTGTTTTGAATCATCATCATTGATGTTGATTTGGCATGATGAACCAATATGATTTGGTGGACAATTATTATTGATCGTTATATCAGAATGATCACAAGCATTACCATAATAATGATCATTACATTTGCAATGATTTCGAATACATTGACCATGATTTGAACAATTTAATGGACATTTTGTAAATGAATATTGCAATATAAATGTAGGTAACAATAAATCAAATGATGAATGATGATGATAAATCATTAATAATCGATTACCATTACTGATTAATGGTTTTAATTGTGTGGATTGATTACAACAAGGGCCACGAATATTAGCTAAAAGATTATCTTCAAATGAATCACCATCAAAAATATAGATAATATCATTATTTGAATTACAACCGGTTAAATTTATCCATATAAAATGTAGATTTATAAATTTATTATCAACATCATTTGTTTCGAATAGCCATTCACCATCACCATCATTAACATTATCATTGGTTATTGTACCGAATATTGTTTCGTTTCCCGTTACAATTATACGATGATTTGATATTGCATACGATGAATGATTTAATAAGAATCGAAAACTAAACCAAATGAATAATGATAAAAGAAAATTCGATTTTGCAAACGATTTCGATGAATATTCATTCATTTCTTATATATCCAAACATATGAAAATGATATGATCATATTGAATTCTTTTTCCGGTAGAACAAAATGAAATCAATGAATTTTTGATGATTATCCACGAGGTAAGGAATTTTTGCAAAACAAAAAAAATTGAAAATAAAACCCGCGATTCCTATATGAGACGAGTCAAAACAAACGCGGGTAACCCAAACAACAAACGAAAACCAAAATGTTCCAGAAACGTTATGACAAAAAAAAAAGAATCCAAGAATCGATCCGTACATAAAAGACGTTACCGAATGATTTTATTTTTTCAATTTTATTTTATTTGAAAAGTGGTTAAATTTGTAGAAAAAAAATTGGTAGATTCAATAATAATCAAGGTAATAATAATTAGAAAAAAAATTGTCACATCAAAAAATTCAATAGAAAAAAAAATTGATTCAAAAATGAAATAGACTAGTTGTGTATAAAGATGCTTTTTTTTGATTATTATTTTTTCGTTTTGTGAATTCTCGTTTTGAAAGAAAAGCTACCACACATGGATTTTTTGGCTAGCGAAAACTTGTAGTATGTAATGTATGGTTGTTGTTGTTGCGTTTGTTTAGGAAAAGTAAACAACAAAAAAAAACGCTAAACTTCGGTCGTATCTTCAGGAACACCTTGTGTTGCAATCAAATAATTTGATGCTTGTCGTATATTCCAATTAAATTTTGTTAACATTTTTGACCAATCACAATCAACATTAATATTATGGCTTCGTAATTGTTGTCGTAATCGCTAGTGTTTTCAAATAATGAAAAGAAATTTAGTAAACGAAAAACAAATTCTACTCATTTTCAACAAAAAAAAATACTTACAATACATTTGATAGCTTTATGTATATCCCAATCGGTTGAATCGAGAATTTTAGCACATTCTTCGGCAGTTAAATTTATCTGTTTTTTTATATAAAAAGTTTAAATTAAAGTAAGTTAGAAAAATAAAGATTTCCTTTATTACATACCTCATTTGAAAGAACTTTTTGCATAACACGAACTTCATCACTATCAATATTTCGATGTCTTGGTATAGGTGGAGGTGGTTGTGTTGGTGGATTCGATAATTTCAATGAACTTTGACTTTTTAATGACTTTTCCATTGATGATGATGATGATGATAATGTGGTTGATGGTGGTGGTGGTGATGGTTTCGACATTGTCGATTGACTAATAACATTTATCGTTTGATTGGTTGGTTTAACATCAGCAACAACATTATCAACAACAACAACATTTTGTACTGGATTCGAATCTTTAATCTGACCGGTACTACCAACAATACCATTCGTAAATGTTGAAACTGATGATAATTTCATTGGTTGTTGCTGTTCAGATTTGTTTTCCTGATTTACATTTTTCGATTGTTGTTGTTGTTGAGGTATAGTGTTTGTCGACGACGATGAAGAAGATGATATAATCGTTGTCGATGGTGGTAAATACGACGATGATGATGATGACGAACAAGCCAATTTAATATTATCAAATGCTTTTTGTATTTCACTTTCCAATGATTCGGTTAAATCATCCGATCTATATATGTGTTGAAATAGAGGAAAAAAAGAAAGAAAAACATTAACGAAAATTCAATGAAAAAATCACGTACAAATATCTTCTTGTCGGTGGTTTTGGTGGCGGCTGTGGCATTGTTGTTGTTGATGATTTATTACAATCATCATCTATTTCAACAGCATCAAAACTTTTACTAAAATGATGTTGATTTGTTTTTGATAAAAATGTAGCTGGTACTTGTGGACATGATACTTGTTTTAATACAGGAACATGATGATGATGTCTATGACCCGATGATGATAATTCATATGGTTGTTGTTGTTGATGATGATAATTACCATCAACATTATCACCAACACCAGTAATCATATGATTTTGATAGTTACCATTATTTAATTTATCTGATAATTCAGCCGGTATTATTAATGGATGACGACGTTGATGTGTTTTCAATTGTATCAAAGGTCGATTACGATCTCTTGGTGGTAATGGTAATGCATTTGGATTTTGTTGTTGCTGTATCATTATTGGTAGCATTTCACCACCAATATTATTTGAATTTTCCAATGGTAATCTTGATGATGCAACTCTTGCTAAACCGGCTGTCTGTGCTGTTGTTGGTAAACGTGGCTGTGAAAATGATCGATTACCACGTATTTTTGGCCGTAATACATTACCGATTCCGGCTGTACGTAACATTCGTAATGGATTATTTTCATTACTTGGATCATCACCATCATTCTGATCATTTTGATGATCAACATTAAACATTGTTGAATTTGATGTTTGATCTATGGTTGTCGATTCTTTGTTCGTCGTTGTCGTTTGAGGTAGTGATGGTACATTATTAACCGAACAACCAACACCTTTATCAACCAATGACATATATGCTTCTTTAGCAGCCGGTGTAATACTTTCAATTATATTTCCAATTGATTCTGTTTCTTCACTAAATGTACGACGTTCATTTTTTGGTGAACGATGATGATGATGATGACCAGTAACTGGAAATTTAAATGAAAATTTCCGTTGTTTATTCGGTGAATTTGGTGTTTTTGGTGAATCATTTTTAGTCAAATCTAAATCATCTTCCATCATTGTACGATTAGCAATATCTTTTGCCATTGCAATTGCTGAATCTAATTCATTTTGTTCTGCTTCGGATATTGGTTTTACATTCGATTTATTTTTTTTCATTTGATTTGATTCTTTACACATTTTTAAATTCAATTCACGAACTTCATTTTTAACATTAATACTATTTTCATTGATAGCTGTTTCACAATCACCAGCATCATTATTTAAATCTGGTTTTATATGATCTAATTCACGGAATACTTCTTCCATTAATGATGGACCAAAATCCAGAATCTGATGTTGGAAGGATGAAAATAGAAAAATTCAAAAATTTTTTTTTGTCATCAAAAACAAACAGACAAAACTAACCTCAAATGGTGGACTTTCCAATGCACCCAAATCATCATCATCATCATCATCATTATCATCACCATTATTATCATTATCGCTTATTTCATGATATTCATGTGATGAATTTGAATATATTGCTTTTGAATCGATTGATGATTTTCGATTTTTTGATTGAAAATTCTGTATTGGACCTGATATAGTCAATTTACGTTGATTTGATTTTGACAACTTCGAATCCATTACATCATTATTATTCAATATTCCATTCGATTTTGATGATGGTTGTTGTTGTTGTACATGATGATATTTACCATCAAGAAATGAAACATCACCGAAAAAAATACCATCAGCACCAACATGACCAGTATGTTTAAGATCACCTTGTGGTCTTGAAATCATTTCTGGACAAAGACGTTGATGCTGTTGATGATGATTATGATGATGTTTTCTTTGTCCATGTGGTGAATGGCTATATAAACCACCACCACCATGGTTATTATTTGAATGATGATTCTTAGTTGATTCTAAAAATCCACGTAAAAATTTTGATGAATGTTGTAATACAGTCGATGCTATTGATGATGCTGAATGTGAATGTGAATGATGATGATTCGAATGATGATTTTGGTGATGGTTACCATTAGTATTTCCCGATCCACCATTACTACCGTTACCACCAGAAAGTAATGATTGAACAAATGATGAACTTGATGATGATGATTGATGACTATTTTGTTGATTATGATTAGTTGATGATGAAGATGATGGTAAATTTTGTCCCAGATAAGCAACAAAATCACTTGGATTTATTAGACCAGTTTTACGTTCATTTGTAACTGCTTTCCATAACATTATACCATTGTTGTTGCTTGTAGCTTGATCCATATTATCATTATCATTATCTTTATCAATAACAGTGACAATATCACCAGATTTATATGAAAGATAATCAGATTTACACATCGGATTATCAGAATTTTTTATAGCTTGTAATAATTCTGGTTTACAATCTGGTAAAAGATTTATGATTTCGGAAAATTTTGGCCGTAAATTTGGTTCATGTTTCCAACAATTCAACATTAATTGATAATATTCATTTGGACAACATTCTGGCCGTTCTAAACGTTGATAATTTGGTATATCAATTGCTTCCAATATTTGTTGTCCAGTTAATGCTGCCCATGGTTGAAAACCAAATGAAAATATTTCCCATAATGTAACACCATATGCCCAAACATCAGATTGTGATGTAAATTTTAAATAATTTATACATTCAGGTGCACACCATGCAATCGGTAGTTTAAGATTAACATTAAAATTACTTTGATAATAATCTTTACCAACACCTAATGCACGTGATAAACCAAAATCGGATATTTTTATTTTAGTTTTATTAAAAACTAAAATATTACGTGCAGCAAGATCACGATGAATCAGGCGTTTCGATTCCAAATATGCCATACCATCGGCAATTTGTTGTGCAAATAAACATAATGATATTAATGGAAAATGTGTTATTAATGTTGATTCTTTTAAACATTCTAATAGTGAACGTAATGGTGCTAATTCGGTAATCAACATAACCGATGGTTCCAATACAACACCATATAATTGTACAATATGTTCATTTGATATTGAATGCATTATGGATGCTTCTTTTAGAAATTCTAACCGTGAATTTTCTAATCGTACAGCTGATAAACATTTGATGGCCACCTGGATACGTTGTCCATCTTTATTGGTCCAAACACCTGCGATGATGAAAAATTAGTAAAGAAAATGAAAAAAAACATTCGAAATGACATTACCTTGTTGTACAACACCAAATTCACCGATACCCAATTCTTTATTAATCACCAATGAATCGATTGATATTATATGTCGATAACATTGTTGTTGTTGCCGGTTACCACCGATCATTTGATGATCAGCGTTCGATGATGTTGATTCATGTTGTTGATGATAATTACCATTACCATTACTATTATTATTCAACATCATTAATGATTGATTTGGATGACAAATTTCCAAATTATTATTATTATTATTGTTGTTGTTGTTGGCATTATTCTTATTATTTGAGCTATTATGTCGATGACGACGATATGTATCATAAATGACTTTCATTTTTTGTTTTGGCTATTTTTTCGTTTGTTTCCGAATTAAGATTCTTTTTTGTTTTTGATCGATTGATTGTCCGGTGGGATGAGAGATCGTCGATTAAAGAGATTTTTGGTTGGTTGGTTTGTTTAATCAAATTTTGGTCGAAAGTTTGAAAAATTGTTCGGGTCGCATACAAAAAACATTTGAGCAAATTTTTTGTTTAGATAGAAAATTATCAAAGAAGAAAAATAATTTTAGAAAAAAAAAATTAAACCGAAAACAATTATTGATGATGATGATGATGATTTAGCTGAATGAATAACCGATTGAATGGATTATGGATGGATGATAATTGTTTGTTTGTTTGCTTAATGAAAAAAGGAATGAATGAAAAAAAATTCATTCCATTCATTTAAAACCCATTCCATTCATGTTGATTGTTTTTTCTTTTTCAATTTCAAAATGATAATCAGCAGAAAAACCTCTCTTCTCTTCTCGTCAACAACAATAATCTATTTCAGCATTTGAAAATTGTCAAGATATTGCTGCCATCATTAAAATGATGATGATGATGAAAAGTTTCCTCCCTTATTGATCAGTAAAGAAGACGATGAAAAAACATTCCACCGAAAATAGTGGTTCCAAGAATAATGGAATGGCGTTGTTTGCTTGCTTGCTTGTAGTTTTTTTATTTGGCACACAATTTCAACAACAACAACAACAGAAACAGAAAAACACAGACAAAAAAATGATCCGCGCAGATTTTTTTTGTTTTCCCAAAAAATTTCGTTATCGCGGACAATCCTCGATGTTTACAAAAAAATCGGGGAAAGACATTCATACGAGGAAAACATTTAAGAGCAAACATATATAGCGAGAGAGAGAGAGAGAGAGAGAGAGAGATTATTGAATCTGGAATGGATAATGGAAAATGTTGATGATCGAGAGAAGAGAAGAGGGCAGCAGTAAAAACATCGACCATCACCACCACCACCAAAATAAAGAAATGAAAGAAGCAAAGTTCATCAACTTTCAACTTTTTTTTTTCCTCCTTCGTCCCCCTCCTCTTCTCCTCCTCTCATCCTCCCAAATAGATCTGCTGAATGCAGACAGACAAAACTTTCTCTCTCTCTCTTAGTAACTTTCACTGTTTTATATACCACTACTACTGATACGATATGCTACTACAATAATAAGGATTCGAATTCGAATCGAATGGATTTTTTTTTGTTTGAATTTTTTTTTTTTTGAAAATTTCTCAATGAATTGTAATTAAATTAGATTTAATTTAATTTGTTTTCGTTTTATCAATGAATCATCGTCATCGATAATTGATTTAAATTATTATTCATTAAATGATTAATTGATTATGAAAATAAAAATTTTATTTATAATTTAATCAACTAGACCGAAACGAAATTCAATTAATCGAACCAGAAAAAAATTCAAACCAATCATCAATAATAGTCATCAACCTAACCTCACTCAGCTATGAATCACAGTCATCAACCTAACCTCACTCAACTATGAATCACAGTCATCAACCTAACCTCACTTAACTATGAAACACAGTCATCAACCTAACCTCACTCAACTATGAAACACAGTCATCAACCTAACCTAACACAACTATATGTCATATTAATGTCGAATTTTGTTTTCTTTGAAAATCTGGACATTTTTTTTGCGTTACAAAAAAATGATAATTTTTTACAAATAAACAAAACAAACCGACAAACCATAATCCACCACCAAAAAAAAAGAAAAGAAACATAAATATAGAGAAAAACATTATTTATTTAATAGATTCTATTTCGGGATTTTCAACCACAACCAACAAGAAAAAAACACCACCAATCAATTTAAAACGTTATTATGATGATTGTCCTTGAGACTTTTGTTTGTTTCTTGGTTGGTTGGTCGGTTTAAATGAATGAAAAAAAATTCGAAAAAATGGATGTGGTTCGAAAGCAATAACAGCAAGAAAATCCTTGAAATGTTTGTTATTTTTTATTTATGGTTACTGTTGTCTATGCTCGAAATGTGATTTGGATAATAAATTTTTCTTTTTTTTTCTGATGAAATAATGATGATGATGAAACCCGATGAAAGAGTTCAATGTCATTTTCATTTCAAATTGTTTGGTGACAAAAATTTTCTTTCTCTTTTTTTTCGCTGTTCAAATCGATGATTGATCGATTGATTGATTTAAATTGATGTTTTGATGATGACAACAACAACAACTTTCAAAGATTTTTCAAAATTGAAAATAACAACGTTTGTCACATGTTTGTTTTTTTTTTGAATTCAATTTCGTTTTGCATTTTGCAACCTATTTTGGAAAATTGATTTGCAAAAATTGTTTTCAAAATCCTCAATGATTATGTAGAGCACTAGATGGCAGCATAGTGTTTAAAAATTGATTTTTTTCAAATTTTTTTTAAAAAATTGAGATTTTATTATTATTTTTACAACAAAAAAATATAAAAATGATAATTAATAAAAAAAAATTGTTAGTTTCTTCTTTTTAAAAAAAAAATTAAATACAGAGAAAAATGCGATTTTTTTATAAAAGTTTACAAATTTGCCCGTACAAAGGTCGTCGGACTTTTACAAGTTTACAATAAATAATTTTAAGAAAATGGGGTCTGGTTGTTGAGCAGCATGAAAGATTAATCAATCGATCATCGATCGTTAATGACGATCAGAATTTTTTGATTTTCTTGATGACCAACTTGTACCGCTAAATGAATTTCTTGATCGACCTGATCCACGTGAATATCCGGACCTAAAAAATTGAGAAAATCAAGTTAACCCTGAATTAATCCATCACCACCGCTAACATACCAATCATTATTAGGATCATGAGCTTTGGCATTAGCAGCAGCAGCAGCCGCTACAACAGCCGCTGCAGCCGATGAATATCTTTCCGAATATGGTGGACTATGTGGTGGATTCATTAATGCTGATGCACCATCCGGTGGTGATATTTGTCTACTTTTTGCCGATATTTCTGTATGTGCTGAACGACCATCCAATATACTACCATTACGTTTGAACGAATTCATACTTTCCATATAATCACCGTTTCTATTTTGATGAAAATCATCATGAAAAACATTGAAAGTAATGAATAAACAAACAGCCAAAAACAGAAAAGAATCTTACCCAAAACCTTCACAAGAATAATTGGAAATATTACCAACAGGTATACCACGACTACCATATATGGATTTTGGACCAGCCATTAATGGATTTTTAATATTATAAAGATTTTGTTGTTCCCATGTTGTTTGTCGTTGACGAATTTTTCTGTTAAAAACCAATTTAATGATAAAATTGCAACCAAGGTTGTATCGTGATAATTACCTTTCTTTACAAGATGAACAAAGTAAAGCAATAGCCAAAACTGTACCCAAGAAAATAACCGATGATAATGCAATGATTGCAATTTCGGTAGCACCCATTTGACTGATTTTTTCCTGTACAGTAACACCCTGTATCCTTCGTATACGAAATGAACGTAAATTTTCAACAATTTGTTGAGAATTTTTACGAAAAACACTGAAAAACAAAAATGGAAAAATTATTTCAATTTTTCAAAAAAATTTCCCCAATCAATCAATCAATCAAACTTACTCAAGCAATGTTTCCGTATCGACAATTTCATTATTATTTTTATTAACTGCATAAAGAAAAACATCGGTTGAATGTGTTTCCTGTATATCACCTTCCAAATGTGGACCTAATTTTGCTAATTTTACATCAAAATCAGTTGTATTACTTAGATATTCAATAATATCCGGGTATTTTTTCTCAATCATTATCGGTTCTCGATCGGCAACAAATAATATCATTTTGGTTTCAGGTAAAACATGAATCTATGAAAGTTTGTGGGAGAAAAAAAATTTGTCAAAAGTCAAAAGTCAACGAAAATAATCGTCGATTTTTTCACTTACAAAAACAGTTGTTGTTGCTGAATTACCATTTTCACTACCTTCACAATCGGTTGCTTTAACATCAAAACCATACATTTTACCACCATCCAGATTAAATGTAACCATTGAACGAATATCACCATTTAATGGATCAATATAAAATTTTGTATGTGAATCATCACCACGTGATAATAATTCATAACGAATGGCTGAATTAATACCAACATCAGCATCTTTTGCCTATTTTTGAAAATGCGAAATACATTCAGAATCGAATCGAATCGAATCCAAAAAATCGAATGCTAAGAAACTTACATTAACTTTTACTACTTTAAAACCAAATGATGCTTCAAGTGGTATTGCAGCAACAATTGGACGATCATTATTATCAAATATAGGTGAATTATCATTTTCATCCATAACATGTATAACAACTAATGCTTCATCATAAGCAAGATGATTATTTTGATTTTCAGTTGTTGTCAAATGTTGATATAATGCTTGATGATGATAATGATGTTGTTGTTGTTGATTTTGATCAATAATAGTAGTAGAAATATCACGACCAACACGACGATGATGTATGACATTTTCTGCTTTTATTTTCAAATGATATACATCTTTTTTTTCACGATCTAAACTTTTCATCAATAAAAGTCGGCCATTTTCATGCTCTATTTTGAATGTTCCTATTGAAAATCGAATGAAATGAAATCAAATGAATGAAAAAACAAGGTAAACAAATAAAATTACCTCGATAATCAGATCCAACAATACGATAGTGTGGTGATTTTCTAGCAATTTCATCCGTTGAATTTAGATCAATCAATAATATTGGTGTCAATTGATTTTCTTTAACTTGTACTTCATAAAGACGTTGTGGAAATAATCGTACACCTTGTCCAGTACCAACAATTATATTGACCTATTGTTTGGGTTTGGGGGGTTATTTCATGAGAAAAAAAAAGGAAAATTCAATTCAATTTTCAATTTTCAAAATAATAATAATAATCCAAACATACTTCAGCCGTATCAGATTTAGGTGGTTCACCATCACTATCTTCTGATTTAACAATCAATCGATAATGATTACGATAATTACTATCCAATGGTTTGACTAGTTTAATTTTACCACTATTTTTATCTACAGAAAATGTATCGATCTCATCGGAATCTATTTTATTTTCACATGAAAAATATCGATGAAAATGATAAATAAAGGGGAGAAGAAGAAATTGAAACATGTCATTAGATTTGTCAATTTTCAAAAAGATTGATCAATTGATACATACTAAGTAGATAATATTTAAATGGACCATCACCGGCATCTAATTTATAAACAATATCACCTGGTTTAGCATTTTCAGCAACTTCAACAGTATAAACTGCTTTAGAAAAATCTGGTACTGAATCCGGTGTATCCGCAACAGTAACCCATAGTTTTGCTGTTGATGATAAACTTGGTGTACCTTTATCATATGCAATAACAGTTATATTGTAGAAATTTTTCTCTTCAAAATCTAATGTTGATAATGTCCAAACAGTTCCATCTGAAAATACAAAATAATCCGATTAGTTTGGTTTGATTTGGTCATTCAATCGAAGTAATCATTACCTTTTCCATCGATATAGAATTTATTATCATGACCGGCACCTAATTTATAGAAAACTTGTCCATTTTCACCTAAATCCGGATCAAATGCAGCAATCTGTGTAACTTTATGACCAGGGTCTAAATTTTCCGGTACATGTGCCAGATATGGATCCGTATAGAAACGTGGTTTTTCATCATTTTTATCCAGCTAGAAATAAAAAGAGAAAAGATTTTTCCAAATTAAAAAATTAATTTTCAAAACAACAAATTTCACAAATAAAATTGATGGTTGTTGTTTGCATAATAGTCAAACAACAACAACAAACAAAAATCAAATAAAAATCGATTTTTATTTGCTTGAAGTAATACTTACAATAGTAATTTTAACTTCAACAGTTGAATTGCTTGGAGGCTCACCATAATCCAATGCCTATTAATAGAAGCAACAAAAAAAACAAAAAAACAATGGCAATCATCAGTAAGTAATCATCAAAGATATTCACAAACAAGAAGCAATGATTATTGATGAGGATGATCATTGTATAATTCAAAGATCATCATCATCATCATTATTCAAATCATCAATTGATCGAACGAAATGAAATGAATGATATACGAACCGTTACTTCAAATGTATAGATTTCTTTTTGTTCACGATCAATAAAACCTTGTGCAAATAATTCACCCGTATGTACATCGATTGAAAATGGAAAATCTAAATTTAACAGAAAAATTTTTGTAAGTAAATATAGCCGAAAAACAAACAAAATCAAACAATTTTGAATGGGTGAATAAATCATTAATTCAAATAAACAAAAAACGAAGAAAAACATTACCTGATGCAACATTTGATGATATCAAATATTCAACTAAACCATTTCGGCCAATATCTTCATCTCTAGCCCTTAAAACACCTAATTTCATTTTATCATTTGTATAATTATTTTCAACAATATTAAATGTATATGATGAATGATCAAATGTTGGTTTATGATTATTAACCTGCTCCCGAATAAAACGAAAAAACAAATTAAATTAAAAAAATTTAACCAGAAAATAACATACATCAATAATGGTAACATTAACAGTGGTACGTGCCGATAAACCACCACCATCAACAGCCGATACATTCATAAAATAAATGGTACCCGGTTTCAGTGAACCAACGACAAAAATCTCACCGGTTATACGATCAATACGGATATCACCATTGCCACCACCAGTTATATAATATTGTATACGGGAATTTTGCCCCTCATCAATATCCGTAGCACGAACTTCAACAACTTTTGAACCGGGTTTGGCAATTTCCGGCAACAGTACAAACAATGGTCCATGTTGAAATTGTGGTGCATTATCATTTTCATCTTCAACTTGAATGAGAAGATCGGTTGCCGAACTTAGTCCACCCATATCTTGTGCAATAACTTTAAATTTATATGATGAACGTATTTCACGATCTAATATTTGTTTTGAATCTAACGGGGTGAAGATAACTGAACCTGAATTCATAATGCTAAACATTTCAGCGCCATCACCCGATAATGAATATTCAATCATTGAATTATTACCAATATCATTATCGATTGCTTTAATTATTGGTACAATATTTACAGTTGTACCTGGTTTTGAATTTTCTTTAATCGTACCGGTATATGAATGTGGAAATGTTGGCACCTGATCATTTTCATCCAAAACATCAATAATTACTTCACTAACACTAACTTTAGTTGTAGGGTGTTTTTCTTCAATCTTAACAGTGAAAACATATTTATTACGTTTTTCACGATCCAATCCGATACGGGTATAAATTTCACCATCCGATGTTATATTAAATATTGATCGCATTTCAGAATTTATAATCGTATAACGTATCGAAGATTTAACACGATGTTTCCTAGGTTTCAAATCAACTTTACCGACAAAATAATTTTTCAAATTTTCTCGTATTTCAAAACGATAATAAGCTTGTTCAAATCTTGGATCACGTTCTTCAGCTTCATTAACAATAATATTCAACAGTGTAGATGATTTCCATATTCCATCAAAAACTTCAACCGTAATGGAATATTGTTGACTTTCACTTACATCCAATTGCCTGGATACATTTACAATACCATTCACGGGATTGATTGCAAACGGAACTGAACCGGTATTTTTTGAAAATGAATAAACCAAATTTGTTTGTGCAGCAGAATCAGCATCGGTTGCATGCAATTCTGTTAGAATCATTCCAACAGCTGAATCTTCTGATATAAAATGATAATAAACTTCTTTTTCAAATTTTGGTGGTGAATCATTAATATCCTGTATGATAACGGCAACCATTGTTTTACCAATTCTAGGTGGTTGACCTTTATCTTTTGCAGCAATAAATACCAGATGTAATGCAGCTTCAGGTACATTATATTTTTCACGATCTAATTCAGAAACTACAGTCAACAATGGTCCACCTTCATCAACATCCAAACGAAATTCACCATTTGAATTTCCATCAACAATATAAACTTCCATTTGACGATTAATACCATCATCATAATCAACAACAGGTAAACGTAAACGTGTACCAATACTTGTTGGACCTTCAGTAACATTTAACATGAATGTTTCATTTAAAAATGTTGGTGTCCAATCATTTTCATCCAGGATAATTATATGAACACTTGTCCAACCAGTATTATTAGCTGAATCGATAGCAACAATTTTCAAAACATGTGCAGGTGATTTTTCTCTATCAGGTGATTCATTTACCGAAATAACACCAGTTTTTGTTTCCATATGAAACAATCGATCATTATTACCGGCAACAATAAAATATTTAAGTTTACCATCATCACTTTCATCATTATCTTTTGCATTTAATGTTGTTATTACATGACCAACTGGGGTATTTTCTTTTAATTCAACCAAATATTCTGATTGTGAAAATATTGGACTATTATCATTAACATCTTCGATCAGGATTTTAACCCGTATGTTGGCCGTACATTTTGCATTCGATGCTGATATTGATAATGTATAAATTCCTTGTAAAAATTTTGCCATACGATCACGATCGATTGATCGTTTTATTTTCAATGTTACATTTCTTGGTATATCATTATTTTCACCACTATTTCCACCTGTACCAACCGTATCAATATAGAAATTATCATTGGAATTATCTTCAGTAATTTGATATAGAATATTCTGCCCGGAATATTTATTCATATCAATCAACATTAAATCATTGATAACAATCATATCGACTGGTGAATTTTCTTCAATCGATGCATAATATTCACTGAATGGAAATTTTGGACATTTTGTATTCATTTCGGATAAACGAATAACAACACTTGCTTCGGAATATCGTTTCATATCCAGTTTATTATGTGCCAAAACAATAAAATGATATGTACTTTCACGTGGATTTATATATTCAATACGTTGTGTAGAGAAAATTCTACCGGTATCATGATCGATTGTAAATTTTTTAATCAAATTTGATGATGATGATGATATATTATACCAAATCTGACCACCGCTTGGTATTTTTGCTTTTGGCACCAGTACCGTACGGCCTGGTTCAACAATATTTTCCAATTGTATTGAATATTGTGTTGAAGTGAATAATGGCATTGTTTCTTCAACATGATCATTATAAACTTCAATTTGTAAATCAATTGAACTGGATAATGGATTTTTTCTTGCTTGATCACGTACAATAATTTTAAATAAATCATGATGTGGCATTAATTTTTGCCGGGCAAATATTTGTCCATTATGTGGATTAATTTGAAATAATGGATTTGGTGGTTCAATTGAAAAATGCAATACATTATTACCTTGTTCATCACTATCCAAATCGATTGCCTGTACAGTGTAAATGATTTCTTCATTTGGTGATACTGATTGTGGTATTCGTATAACTTTTGGTATTGAAAGTATTTCTGGTTTATGATCATTTTGATCAATAACTTTAATCTGTACAACAGTCATTATAAATTGTGAATCTTTTGCTTCATCCCGTGCTTCAATATTTATTTCATGATATCTTGCCTGTTCATAATCTAATGGTGATATTAACATTATTTGTCCCGATTCTCTATCAATACGAAATGCTGAAGGATTTGTTGATTTTACAATACGATAATTAATTTTACCAGCTTTACCTTGATCAGGATCTTGTGCTTTTACAGTAACAATGGCAATACCGGATAAATTCTCTTCAACTTCAACTGAATAGAAAAATTTTTCAAATTTTGGTGGATGATTATGAGTGTTTGATGATCTTACAACCAAAATTGCTTTACCAATATTTGGTGTTATACCATGATCTTGTGCAAAAACTTCCATTTCAAATGTAAAATTTTGTTTATTATTCGGGAAATTTGAAACCAAACGCACTAGGCCAGTTTTTGAATCAATTTCAAACATTCCATGTGTATTTTTTATCCAATAAGTAACTTCTCCGTTATTAGCCATATCAGGATCATTTGCATGAACTTGTATAACAGTTTGACCGGGGTGTGAATCATATGGTATCGATACAACATATTTCTGTTGTTCAAATAATGGTTGATTATCATTTTCATCCAATACTTCAATCGATATCGGTACTGTTGTTTCAAATTTTCCATCATTTGCAATAACAAAAAATTCATAACGATCTTGTTGTTCACGATCCAACAGTTTTCGTGTACAAAGATCACCTGTTGATTTATTTATTTGAAATGATTGACTATCACGATTACCATTGCTTAAAAAATAGCTAACATTATCCACTGAATCACCTGAATTGGCTTCAATTTTTAAAAAACAATAACCAGCCGGTTTATTTTCATTAATTGTTACCGTATATGATGGTTTATTAAAAATTGGTGGATGATTATCTAAAAATTTTTGAAAAAAAATTGAAAAAAGAAAAATTAAATTATCACAAAGGTAAAAAAGGAGATAAAGGTAAAAGGTATTTACGGCTATTTTAACTCCAAAAAAAAACTTACTTATATCTTTAACATCAATTGTAACAATAGTTAAACCAACTAATGGTGTTTGATGTGAATCTTTTGCCTGTACTAATAATGAATATTGTTTTTGTTTATCATAATCAATTAATGACCATTTTCCTTGATTAATACTAATTTGACCATTTTGTTCATCAATACGAAATAGATTTTGATCATTACCACCAACAATTGAATATGTAATTGTATTATTTTGTAAATCTTTATCCATTGCTTTCACTTGTATGATTGGTTTGGTTTCTTGACGATTTTGTTTTACCTTTTGTTCATCACCATTATCATCATTGATGGTATTGAATTCAAATACAGAACCAAAATAATTATTCGATGTAAACACTGGTGGATAATCATTACTTTCTTGTACCCGTACCACAATCTGTACACCAAGACTAAAATTCTGTGGTAAACCATCATCAGTTGCACGTACAATAAATTGATATTGTGTTTTACCATCCAATGGTTTTCGTACATAAATACGACCTGAATCTGATTCAATTGAAAAATATTGATAATCTTCATCATGTATTGAATAATAAACATTATTTCCATCATCATCGATTGCTTTCACCTGTCCTACATTTGTTCCTTCAACTGCTTTTTCCTGAACATGAAATTCATATGGTAAACCAATAAATTTTGGTGAAAATTCATTAATATTTGCTACATAAATATTAACTTTTGCCGAACTCCAACGTGGTTCATCACCACCATCCGCAACAATTAGATCAAATTCTAATTGATTTCTTTGTTCATAATCCAGTGGTTTATTCAATATTATCATACCGGTTGTATGATTAATAAAAAAATATGATACATCCAATTCATTTCCTTCAATTTTATAATAGGATATTTTTCCATTACGACCAGAATCATTATCGGTTAATTGATAAAATGGTGGTAATGATGTACCGGGTGGTAAACTTTCCGGTAATTCTAAACCATAACGATCTTCATTAAATTTTGGTGAATTATCATTCACATCGGTAATTTCAATAATAACCGGTACGGATGAATTAAATAGATTTATTGATGACATATCACGGGCATTGATTTTAAATTCAAATATTTTTTCATTTGCCGGTGGATCAAAATCAATCGAATCGATAACAATAATTTCACCAGTTTTTGAATTGATATTAAATTTTGATAGGCCATTAATCCCGTTAGGATTTTCCTGATTTTCACCACCACCACCACCATTATTATCATTTCGTTGTTCAGGAAATTCAATCCAATAAACAATATCCAATTCATCTGTTGAACGTTTTGGATTCGTAGCCGAAACGGAACCAATTAATTTTCCACGTGGTAAATTTTCCGGTATTTTATAATGATATAATTGTTGATCAAATTCAACAATTTCATCATTAATATCTTTAACATTGATTAATACTTCTACTGAAGGATTAACAATATCAGCTGAATTTGGTCCTTGAAATGGTCGAAGATTACGTGCAGCAATAAATAATTTATATTGTTGTTTACGTTCAAAATTCAAACGATCCGATGTTGTTATTAAACCATTATCCGTATTTATATTGAAAATATTATCTTCATTACCAGCAAGAATCAGATATTTTACAACAGCATTATCACCAGTATCCCGATCTAATGCTTGTATACGAAATATTTCAACAGGTGGATCAATTTCTTCTGCAACTTCAATTTCATATTGATTTTGTTCAAAATAAGGTGCATTATCATTAATATCTTCAATTTGAACAATGATTTTTGTACTACCACTAAGTTGTGGTGTACCACCATCATATGCAATAACAAGAAATTCTATTCTTGATTCTGTTTCACGATCTAATTTCGTTCGTGTTCGTATCATACCATTTTTTTGTTCAATAAAAAACAATTCATTTGCATGATCACCAATAATCGAATAATGAATTTCAGAATTTTTACCAGAATCACGATCAATAGCCATAACAGTACCAACGGTTACATTTGAACCTAATTCTTCAACAACAGTAAAATTATACAAATCATGTGTAAATTGTGGTGAATTATCATTAATATCAACCAAATTTACTAATAATGGTGCAACAGCCGTATTAATACCATCCGATACTTGTACTAATAAATCAAATGATTGTTTTGTTTCATAATCCAAAACAGCTGATGTATAAATTTTACCAGTTTTTGAATCAATAATAAATTGTTTTTCATCATTCCCGGCAACAATAGAATATTCTAGCATTGTATCCACTTGGTCAGCATCTTGTGCAATAATCTGTGTAACATAAGCACCTTCCGGCAATGATTCACCAACATATGCTTCGAATGGTGCACCAATAAATTCCGGTACACTATTATTAATATCGGTTATATTAACCCTGATGATAGCAACAGCCGTTCTTCGTTCATGTATCATTTTAGCCATATCGGATGCAACAACAAAAAATGTAAATTGTCCAATCGGTGTTGGTGATTTACTGTTCATCGATGAAAATCTATCCGTTACATAAATGGAACCATTTTGTGGATAAACATCAAACGGACTATTTTGACTTAATGAATCATTTTGTTTATAGTAAATAATACGACCATTTTCATTAATATCACGATCACTTGCATAAATTGAACCGATTAACGTGCCAGGTGATGCTGTTTCCAACACTGAAAATGTATAAACATTTGATGGAAAAAATTGTGGATTATTATCATTTGAATCTAATAATGTTATTTCCACTACACAGCTATTTGGTTCTTTATAATCAGGATCGACATTTGGTTTTTTTTCAATAGCCATTACTTTCAGTATGATTTTATCATTTAATTCACGATCCAATTTATTTGGATCTTTTACACTAATCCAACCGGTATATGGATCAATTTGAAATGCTTGTATTGGATCTTTAAGGACATAACGAAATTCAGCATTTTCACCTTTATCAGCATCAAATGCTGATACTTGTACAATTGTAAAACCGGTAGGTAAATTTTCCATAACCGTTACATTATAGATAATATTTTCAAATATTGGTGAATTATCGTTCTGTGTAAATGGCAAGGTAAAAAATAAACCAAAAACAAAACAAAACAAAAAGAAAACAATGGTGATGATTGCTCTACAAAAATAAACAAATACAAAAAAAGAGGGATGAAGAAAGACACTTACCACATCGATTATAAAAACATCGACTCTTGATGTTGCCTGACGTAATGGATTATCAACTTGTGATGCCTGTTTTTAGCAATAGACGAAAACGAAAGAAAGAAAGAAAATCGAAATTTAAATAATGATCATTGTGCGTGTTTGGGTCAGCGATGGCGATGGTTGATCAAAACAATCGATGTTGTTGATAATGATGATTATCCATTGATTTTGTGGATAACCACCACCATAATCATGATGGTGGTGGTTATCCACAAACATTTCTGACCATTATCCTAATCATCATCAACATCATTATAATAATCATCGTCTCGAAAGCAATCGATAATAACCACCACGATCACCATCATTATTGACCCAAACCAAAAAAAAAACATCGATGGTTATTCCCGATGGTGATGTTATCATTAACCCCATAATAACAACAACAACAGGATACTCATTTTGCAGAAAATAAAAAAATCGAATGTTTATATAAAAAAAAAAGATTATTTCTACTGACCTGTATCTGTAATGTTAACATAGAACTGGACAATGATTCCAAATCAATCTCACGAACAAGAAATAATTCACCTGTTTGATCGTGCATTTCAAAAAATCCACCTTCATTTCCTATTGTATAAAGAGAGATAGAGAGGGACAATGTTTGAGGGGGGAAAAGGAGGGAAAAAAGAGTGAAAAAAATGAAAATGAAAATCTTTTTTTTTCTTCGAAGAATGCATAGAAAATCTTTCAAGAAACTTGCTCGCTTCTATTTCCACATCCACGACAACATTCTTTATGGGAAATTTTTCTGTTGTTTTTGTTTTGAAAGATTCGATTTTTTGTTTTTGCTTTTTGCTTTTTTTGATTGTAAACACGATTAATTTCATCGAGCGATTATGAATATCATTATCATTATTCGAAAAAAAGAAAGTATCGAAAACATCCAAAAAATTCGTGCAAAAAAATTGGATCAATTTTGATAAAGAACATTGAATTTTTCCCTGAAGAGAAAGAAAATTTGTCAAAAAAATTCCATCAATGAATTGATTTTCCTCAAAAATCAGAAAAAATCAAAGTGTAGACGCCCAAATCAAATCAATCGATCGATCGATTTTCAATCGAAAAAAAAACTTGATTTGACAGATTTTTTATTGATGATTATACACCACCACCACTGACACACGTGTGTATATCTGCCTATTTGATCTGTCCTGTGTTTTGCATTGATTTTTTTTGCTTTGAATATTTAAAAAAAAAATCAATGCAAAAAAATTATTGGCAATCGATGATGATCGTTGACATGAGAAAGTTTATAACTTTGATCACGGTGAACAAAAATTCTGTGAATTTTTCAATTTTGTTTTTGGTTTGGTTTCACAGCCTTCTGAAACCTATCGATTGAAAATTTTGATTAAAAAAAAGAGTTCTTTTTTTCTGGTTTATGAGAAAATTTCCCACCACCAACATTATTCTAGCTTAAATATGTCAACAACAAATTGAAAAATTTGTATAAAAAAACGAAAAGAAAGACATTGTTTCTACACAGAAAAGATCTAAATATCCAAATGAATATTAATTCACTGGCCTGGAGAGATATGCGAAAATTGATGAAAATGAAATGGACAACAAAAACAAAAAACAACAAAAAACTCATTACANTGCTCGCTTCTATTTCCACATCCACGACAACATTCTTTATGGGAAATTTTTTTTTCTGTTTTTGAAAGATTCGATTTTTTTGTTTTTTGTTTTTTTGATTGTAAACACGATTAATTTCATCGAGCGATTATGAATATCATTATCATTCAACAAAAAAAAAAGTATCGAAAACATCCAAAAATTCGTGCAAAATTTGATTCGCAAAAATGAAAAAAAAAATTGGATCAATTTTGATTAAGAACATTGAACATTTCTTCCCCTCAGAGGGAAAAAGAGAGGGAAAATTTGTCAAACAAATTCTCCATCAATGAATTGATTTTGATTTTCCCAAAATCAGAAATTCAGAAAAAATCAAAGTGTAGACGCCCAAATCAAATCAAATCAATCGATCGATCGATTTTCAATCGAAAAAAAACTTGATTTGACAGATTTTTTATTGGTGATTATACACCACCACCACTGACAACACACGTGTGTATTATCTGCATATTTGATCTGTCCTGTGTTTTGCATTGATTTTTTTTTTGCTTTGAATATTTAACAAAAAAATCAATGCAAAAAAATTATTGGCAATCAATGATGATCGTTGACATGAGAAAGTTTATAACTTTGATCTCGGTGAGTTTTGTGTGTGTGAACAGAAATTCTGTGAATTTTTCAATTTTGTTTTTTGTTTGGTTTGTTTCACAGCCTTTTGAAACCTATCGATTGAAAATTTTGGTTTCTTTTTTGATTAAAAAAGAGTTTTTTCTGGTTTCTGAGAAAATTTCCCACCATCGACATTATTCTGAGAAAATTTCCAGCTTAAAAGGTGACAACAAATTGAAAAATTTGCATAAAAAAACGAAAAGAAAGACATTGTTTCTACACAGAAAAGATCTAAATATCCAAATGAATATTAATTCACTGGCCTGGAGAGATATGCGAAAATTGATGAAAATGAAATGGACAACAAAAACAAAAAACAACAAAAAACTCATTACAATAACAATGGATTAACGAAGATGATGATGATGAAAAAGGTAAATATTGTCAAGAGTCATCATCATCATCATCTTATCCAGAAAGAAACATACAGAAAGATTAAATCAAATTCATTTTTGAAAAGCAAAGCAAAGCAAAAAAATTATTCAAAATGTTTTCATTTTTCCAAAAAAAAACATCTTGACTTATCATATGGAACAACATCTTCAAATGTTTTTCAACGAAAAAAAACGTATTTTTTTCACACGTACTACACACGTTTGATAAGCAACGATGATAGGATGCTTGAAAAAATGTTAAATGTGAAAAGTGATTATAACCATATTGGATCAGAAATTTTTTTTTCTGTGTGTGTTTCCAGCAAGAAGAAAAGGTAAACCGATCCAAATAAAGTCAGTTTTTGTAAATGTCCAATATGTTTATAATTTGTTTCAACAACAACAAAGATTGACTCAATTTATAACATTTTTTTTTGTTATTCCATTCATAAATTGCTCTGAATTTCAATCAATTTTTGTTCATTTTCATTTCATTTAATTTTTCATCACATTTTTGTTTTGTTTTGCGAATGATAAGATATTCATTTATTCAATGTTGAAAAGATTTTTCTTCATTCTTTTCTTTCTTTTTTAGCTTTTCAAGATTGAATTGGCATCCAAAATAATGATAGTAGGAAAAAAAACTGTTCCATAATGGAATTTCGCGCATGCGTATTTTTGTTGTTACAATTTTTTTAAAAAAATGATAATAATCAAAAAATTTATTTCAACAACAACAATTCTTTTTGATTGATTTCATTTCTATTCATTATATTCATTCATTCATTCAATAGATCAATCAATCAATCAATTGAATCTATTGATCAATCGATAGTATCGATCGATTGATTTTTTCGCTTGTTTTATTTGAAAAGAAAAAACTAGTTTTATCTTGAGAGTCTTCAGTTATCATCATTATCATCAGCATTGATTCATTTTAGTTGAAAAATCAAAAACTTACCAAGAACGATTGAATAACGTAGTCGAGCATTGATCCCACTGTCAAGATCAAATGCATGTATCGGTGGATCAACGGCTACTTTTTCACGTATTCGTAATCCCTGTTTAGTGAAAGAGAAATCAATAGAGAGAAAAGTGTTAGTTAGTCCAGTTTGAAGAGAAACATTTTTTTTTTCAATTTTCATTAACGTTTTTTTTTTGTTTTCAGGGGAAAAAATTGATCCAAATTTGAAACTTTTTTATCTTGAATTTGAAGGGAGAGAAGGGGATGTGAAAATTTATTAATTTAATCAGGTGGGACCTACACTTGGATGAATATAGTCATCCCACTTAAACTTGAAATTTTTTTTAAAAAAAATTAAATCAAAAAACGAAAAAAATTCAATCAACGCCAACAAACAAATATGAAAAACATATGGATGTTTTCCAAATACCTGTTGATGTTAAACTTGATTTTTGCTTAATCTTTCTTTACTGATTGCAAAATCTAATTAATTACACACAGGTAAAAAAATCAAAGAAACAGAAAGTGTCTGTTTTCAGTAAATTTTTTTTCGTGTTTATTTTCAGGATGACCTTTTAGTGATGGCCAAAAGCTAAAGAAAAAAAACTTGATGCAGCAGCAAGGTAAAGTAAAAAAAATACATTTTTAGATTCAAAGTATGTGCCTTATTGTGGATATTTTCGTTGCCTGTCGTTCATTATCATCATGATCATGATGATGATCATCATGTTTTAGCATCATCAATGGATGATCATCTCAGCTGGTCAGAGAAATTGATATTGAGAGAGAGAAGCAAATGTTAATCAAGTTTCATATTTGATGATCATCATCATCATGATGATGGTGGATGATCCAAAATGATCATCATTATTACAAGGATGCTACAAATTTGGCCAGAAAAAAATGATAATAATGATGATGATTTTGAAACAATACATTAGCCACACATAGACAAACAAGGTAAACAACACACGCATATCATCATTGTTTTGGTCAAGCAAAAAATATGGATGATGATGATGAAATGAAAATGAAATTCAATCAATGATTATCATTACCATTACCATTATCATTGAATTTTTTTTGGATACATTTCTACACATTTAATTTCATTCATAATGATAATTATGTCCAAAAATTGGTAATTGAAAAAAGCATTTTGTGTGTGTGTGTGTGTGTTACATATTTTGATTTTCAATTATCATAATTTTCGTTCGTTCATTTCTATGTTTGACTGACATAGTGGTCAATGTCTAATTAGAATAAATTGAAATTAGGAACAAAAAAAAATCATAAATCACAAATCAAAAATCGCAAAAATCAAATCGAAAATCAACATTCAAATGAAAAAAGTTTTGTTTTTCATTAATGTTTCATTTCATTTCATTTCGTTCATGTCCAAATGTAAATTTTTTCTTGTTTTTTTTCGGCTCAAATAATGTGTTGAATATTTACGGATGGATGTCTCATTTCATAAGTCAAAATGTGAAAATAGAGAAAGTGAAAAAAGACACTCGCACACACGCAAACAAAAATCGAAATTATCGATTTGAAATTATCATCCAACAAACAAAAAAACGAAATAAAAACATCTGATCATTTTGGAAACATGGCGACGAAATTATCATTTTCATGTCAATCGTTTGTTAGTTAATTCAATTCACATTTGATTTGATCAAATGTGATATGGGCGCGTGCTATTTGAATTCGCAGAACGAAATAATCGTTTGACCATGTTGTTGTGGATGATGATCAGAAAGAAAATTGGCCAAAATGATAAAACAAACAAAATAAAATTGGCATCATCATCGGTAATTAAACTGTCAAAAAAGAAAAAAAATCGATCAGATTCCCAAAAAAAAATCAGATTGTTTTTTTGGCTGTAGAAAAGCTACTGCTGCTGTCAATACTGATGATGATCGATCAATCAAATCAAAATCTAATTTTGATTGAATTTTCCCTCTCTCTCTCTCCCTCAATCTCCAAATAGGAAATTGTTCATTTCCTAGATAATTTTCTTGTTGGTCGATCCAACTTGAGTTGAAATAGATTTTTTCAGTATTCGGTTTGTTTGTTTATTGGCAAAGATAATGTCGATTTTGAAGAGAAAAAAAACAATGGAAAAATTTAATTAAAAAAATTTTTGATCAATTTTTTTCGAAAACAAAATGTTTTTCTTAATTTTGAAACGAAAAACATTGAAAAAGATCTGTGATCTGTGATCTATGATCAATGATTCTGAAGAGAAACATGATCTTTAATCATGAAAAATCCAAAAACCGAATCATCATTACTATATTTAACCTTCAAATTACATAAGAAAAAACATCATGATGATCATTATGGTTTTTTTCATGTCTATCGACTATTTCAACATCAGTGTAACAAAAAAAGAACATTACTGCTGTTTGGCTATCTAATTATCCTAATGATAATGATAATGATGATGATAATTTCAAACACGATTTATAAATTATTATTTTTGGAAACGATAATAATTGGGTTTTTTTGTGATTTGAAAAAAACGTTATCTATGAATGGATCATCATCACAATAATAATAATGAAAATTGCCAAGAGAAACTTACCGTTAATTTAGTTGTTTCGGAAACACTTGCACGATAAATATCTTTTGTAAATATTGGATTTTGATCATCAGCATCTTTAACCCTTATGGTCATTGTTGTTACTGAACTAAGACTTTCAGGTGTTCCATGATCCTGGTGTTAAGAATTTCAAGATAAAAAAAAATGAGAAATTTTCCAGGAAAATTTTCCAGAATCCAATTACTACATACCGATGCCTGAATCTGTATCTTGAATTCCCGAATACCATTATCATAATCCAATGCTTTATTAATGACCAATGTTCCTTCAATTGGATCGGATAATATAAAGGAATTATTTTCATTGCCACCCTGTTTTGAAAATTCAAAAAAATTCAAAAAATCAAGAATCAAGAAACCAACAAAAACAGAATAATAATGATACTTACAACAATCGAATATGTTATATCTGAATTGGCTGTATTTGGTTTATCACGATCAATAGCATGTATACCACGAAAAACAGTTAGGCCAACAGGTGTCAACTATGTGTAATGGAAAAAGGTCAAAAAAATTAATAAACATTCAAACAAACAAAAAAACACACAGGTACACAGGTAAATATTTATTGAATCCTGAAAAAATGTAGTCATCGATAATTGATTGATTTCATCGACAAAGGTCATCACCATAAAATCAAATAATGATGATTTTTGATTCGTTTTGGATCAAACATTCAAAGTCAACATTCAACAACAATGTTTTTTTTTCTTTGGCTATTTTGACAGATTTCATCATCAACATTGAAAAAACAGATTTTCAAATGATAATGATGTATTTGGATAAAAATAGCCACCAACTAGAAAACCAGATAAAACAAACAAACAGAAATCCTTTCATTGAATCAGAAAATCCGAACATTTTTGATGATGTGAATGTTTCTTGCAATCATCAATGTTCTTTCTGTTTATTGATTTGATTGATTTCCAATAAATCGATTTCAAATGCAAAGTATCAATTTTAACCAAATCAAATATCTATCTAGTAAGCCCACTAACAAGCGAACAAGGCCACACAACTATTTCGACAAACAAACAAACATTCATTTTGATCAAATCTTGATCATATCTGTTAAAATAGTGTAGCCCTTTTACAAAACATAAGATTATTTTTATAAAAAAAGACTATTTTAACCGGCTAAGTAAAAGATGTCAAAAAAGAAAAACAGGCCAGCAAGATGAGATTAAGGAGAAAAAAACCACAAATAAATTTTATTTTCATTTTTTTCTTTGGTGCGAAAAAATCAATGAAAAATTCATGTCACGATGACCACACCATCACCTTCTTCATCCAACCAACCGATTTGGTCATCGAATCATTGAATCAAACCAAAAATTTTCATTGATAAAACAAAATTATTGGTTTGGTGGTGGTTTTCACCCCAAAAACATCATCATCATCGACACTGAATCGTGATGATGATGACTTTTTTTCATCTAAAAAATTTTCAATTGATTCACCACCAACCACCGACAAATGAATTAAATTAACCCGTCATTAAAAAACATGGCATGGTAAACCAATAAATACCTGATACTAATGGGAATTTTTAATTATAAACCGATAAAAACTATCTATCCACTAGAAAATCAATTTCATTCATGATTTTTTTTTTGTTTCATTTCACAATTCGAATTAATTTAATCTAATAACAAAATAGATAGGCAGGTAGGCTACCTAACTAATAATAACAAATAGGTAATCCATACCTATTTTAACATCAGTGTGTGTGTGTCATTGGGTCAATCAATCAATCAATTCGAATGTTTAGAGGTTAAAGATTTTATTCCCGAATCGTGTTGTACAATATCCGAGAATATATTTTCTGTCCGAAAAGTTGATTCATTCAGTTTTTTGTTTGCCTACAATCAGTGAATATATAGTGGTCATCATCATCATTTAACACTATTACATCATTATCATAGAAAATGAGGAATGTAAAAATGATAAAGAAAATCTTGATCACGAATCAAATCAAATCGACAAAGAAAAAAGTTAATTTTTATCTTTATTTTTTCGCTGAATGAATGAATGAATGAAATATCTTTGTGTGTTGGTGGTGGTGATGTTGGTGGAAAAATATTATTTAACAAACTAACTAAACATAAAAAATTGACCGAAACACACGAATAAAATGATTTTTTTGTTGTTGTTTTGTTTTTCACGCAAAGTTTTCTTCGGTTTTTTTCCTTCTAAATGAAATGAAATGAATGAAAATTGTTGTTTGTTTGTTTGTTTCGGCATTCCATTTCATTTCATTCATAAAAAAAATGAAATGAAAAATATGAATTTTTCAATCATTGATCAGAACACAAAGATCAATTCCAATGGAGAAATTCCAAAATAAAAATTGCTTGTTTCAGGAACAAAAACAGGAAAATAAATAAAACAAACAAGATACATACCTCATCAACATCCAATGAATAGGGAACATTTTGAAATTCAGGCGTATGATCATTAACATCCTGTACATACACTGGGTGTGTGTTTAATGTGTCACGTCATTTATGAAACAATTTGATAAATATTTCGGGAGAGAAAAATGAAAAAAGATAATGAAAATTAATATGATAAATTATCAGGAAAAAGGGGAGGAAAACCAATTAACATTTGCAAAATGAAAAATGAAAATTGGCATCCAGCAGCCGCATCAACAACAACAACAACAATCATTCAATATGGGAAAACATCCGCTGTCTGTGTGTTCCGGTATATTCCTGCTGTGTTGTTGTTGAGGTCAGGTCATTGATGCTGTCAATTATCATCATCATCTTTGTTGTCAATTCTCAGCATCAATTTTGGTCGAAAATCAATCAATTCATTTTAACACTTACCGGTTACAGGTAAAAATGCTTCTTCCTATATATTGATCATCATTTGGGACGAGAGGGATAGGTGGAAATAGAAAAAAAAATTGTTAATTTTTTCAAAATAAACTACTGAATTTCCTGGCAATTTTATTTTTATTTGATGATAATAAGGTGAAATGATTGGCCAGTAAAAAGACAAAAAAGACAATGAAAAAATAAAGAAAGTAAAGGTTGTTTGTTGATGAAAAAGTAGCTCAAAAAGTGAGAAAAAAAACAGGGTGTTTGTCGAACATATCTAATCACTACTTTACTGCAATTCAACTATTTTTACCTGGGCAAACCAATGATGAATTGATGATGAGATTTTTTAAAAAATTTTTCCATTGAACTAAATCAATCAATTTTGTTTTTTTTTTATTTCAAATTCAATTATCATCATTTAAATTATCATCATCAAATAAAATGGTTAGGTTATTGAATTGATGATTGAATTATGGGGGATCGTAAATCAGAAGAACAAAATTTTCTTAAATGGCGTTTTCTTTTCTAAATTTTCATGCACTGTTTTAATTGATTTTTGTTTTTGGCAAATTTTATTTGATCAAACAATCATCATCATCATCAATTTGTTTTGCATCCCTCGTTTAACTTCAAAAAGTTGACCCTAATATTTTTTTTAAATAAAACTTTTTTAAAAAAAGAAGTGAAATGTCCATCATTTTTTTGGTAAAAGGTTCACTGATGAAATATTGATTTTTGATCTAAATATATATGTGTTTTCGGTCTGTTGATATTATTAACTAACCATAAAAAACTTTTTATGTTGATGAAATTCAACAAAAATCAAAAAAAATTCTGGCACGTTCTTGTCTTGACGTTTTTCAATTATCATCATCAATTTGAAAATGAATGAAATGTTTGCCCAGGTAAAAAAAAGAAATTAAAAACACAATTTGGGATAAATATTTGCTGCCAAAGTGTTAATATGAATGGCATGCAAAATTAAAGAAAACATTTTTATGGAAAAAAAGTGTGAAAAATTTTAAAGAAAAAAATAAACAGCAAAAAAATATTGTACATACCGTTCCACTGGCACCTTTACAGGTAAGTTTAAATTTTAATACACTTTGTGGATCTTTCTGTAAAATTTTTGTTTTTGTTGTTGGTTTTTTCGGTTTGTTGATTGATATGGATGATAAGATGAGAAAAAAATTTTTGATGATAAAAATAAATAAACAAAAAAAGAATCAATAACAGGTTCATTCGATTCGATTCGGGTGAATCGAATCAATCAATCAAGATGGGAAATCAATATTGATTTTGATTTGATTGAAAATCAATATTGAAAATAAGAAACTTACCCGATCAACAAGTTCTTCCAATGAATGTGCTAATTTTATGGCAACATTTTTATCATCTAAAATTTCATATTTAAAATAATTTATATCGCTTAAACTATTATCCACTGCTTCTAAACGAAATTCATTTCGCGGGTAAACTTCAACTTTGAATACTTCGTTTCCTGTATTTTGTTTTTGAGAAAAAAAAAGAAAAATAACCGAAAATAAGATTATTATTATTATTAGTAAAATTGGTTTACAAAACGCAAGCTAATAACCGACGATAATAACCGAAGACGACGATAATAATAATACCCGGTCAGTATTTTTTTGGACATAATAACCCGGCGGTATTATTATCATTGTTATCGGTCATTATTATTATTGGACATAATGACTGCAGTATTATCGGACAAAAAACATTTCCGATCCGGTAATTGTTTGAACTTTTGGAACCGACTATTTTGACTGTTGTTGTGCTTCGAAATCTAATCAAAAACAAAATACCCGAACAAAAGCCACCCACACTATCACTTTTCAAATTTTTCTTTGGGAAAAACATTTTCAATTTAAAATCATCCGACCATATTATGTTTTCAAAAACCGGACAAACAAACAAAAAACAAATTGGAAAAACCATTTTGGAAAATAATTCAATTTTCGGAAACTTTTCTTTTTCTTCGCACCCAACGAAATTTTCAAATTTTCTTTTCGAAAAAAATCAATAAAATAATTTTCATTTTCAATTCAACGAAAACTTGACGAAAATCGGATTGAAAATTTCTTCAACAACAACAACAACCGAATTAGCCAAATTTTTTATATTTATCGAAAATCTACCTGGAAAAAAATGCCTAAAAATAAGCTTCAATCATCATCCAATCATCGACGAATATCCAAAAATTCAATATCTTTGAAAACAAAAATAGAAACATTCCATTCGACATTCCACTCAACCTGTGTGTGTTATCGACTAAAAATAAGATTAGTGTATGTGTGATATATGAACTCATCATGTACTGCCACCAAAATTTAATAATAATGATGATGATGATCAAATCAAAAAGTACACTTTATTGGAAAAAGTGTTTATTATTTGAGTGAATCTCTCTCCTTTGGTTATTTTGGCAGATTAAAAAAGAGTGAATTCAGCAACGAAAGCAACAACAACAAGGTACTAGCTATCACCTGGAAAGTTGATTGATTGATTGATTAAATCTTTGATTTGATAAAAAATAAAAAAAGTTCAGTCAGGTGTAACACTGTGCAAGTGTGAGATTTTTTTTTGAAAAAAAATGTGAGAAAGTTTTCGGGTAAGACACGCACAGAGAGAAAGATTATTGATGAAATTTTCTCGGAAAAATTCTCTCTTTCCCCATTTTAAAATCCAAATAAACATGTGTTTTTTTCATTAATTTTACTTTTTTTGTTTATTTCATTTCCAAAAATCAAATGAAAAAAATTGTCACAAAAAACCGACAATGGAACAAAACAAAAAAAAAGTTTTTCGGCAATTTCAATATTTAGGTCAAAATTCCCGGGTGTAAAGCACCAAAATGCCAAACAGACAGCAGAGACATGCCGGGTATTGTTTTCGAAATTTATAATTAATGTTTACAGAAAAGTTTTTTCGAAACAAAAAAACTTTTCAAAACAAAAAAAAAATGATAAAATAAATGATGATGATAAATCAATGGAAAACAAACAAACAAACGAAAAAACATTGTCAACCTGGCTGTACTATTTATTTATTTATTGTAATCATCATTATGATTACCAGGATCTAATTATGAAAACGATCATCATCATTATCATCATCATCAAACAATGTTGCTTGTTGTCATTGATTATCCATGTTGTTGTTTGATATAATTATGGAAAGATTTTTCGATGAAATATGTTTGTTTTGAGCTAGAAAAACCTGAAGAAAACGAATTAATCCATTCCGAAAATAGATATCATTTTTTTTATTGCGGAATGGATCGAAATAGTGACGAAAATGATGAAAAATATTGTCAAATTTTTTTTTTGTTTTTTAAATTGAATTTTGAAACAAACAAAAAACCGAACCGAAATGACAAGTGAATGAAAGGGAAAATTTATATTGTTTTAATTCGATTGACATGAATAATAAAAAATTACAGTGTTTTTTTCTGTCAATTTTTTTTCGGTTACAAGCGAAAAAAATCAATATGGAAAGTGTGTTGTCACACACACACACACACACTATTTCCACCTGTTCTGATGATGATTAGGAAAATATAAATCCTTACGAAAAAATTCACAGCCATAAAATTCTTTCAAAAGTGAAAAAAATTTTTAATGTTTTTTTTCTTGAAAAACTTTAATCAAACAGGCAGAAATCCTCAACGTAAGTATATCACACACACCTGCAAACAAAAATCAAATCAAAATGACCATGGATTAGCTCAAGATGATCATCATCATTGGATTCAATGTTTCAAAACAAAAATCCAAATATCATGATAAACATCTGAAACAGGATCGTTAAGACAAATCGATCGGATTAACCTTATGAATTTTTCCGAGAAACTTTACAGAAAATTACTTCAGAAAAATTGATACTATTCATAGATTGGATGGATGGTTATTTTCGGATTTAAACAAAACAAAATGAAAAATTTAAATCCAATTTTTTTTTGTCCGAAAACAAAACAAACTAACAACTTGATAATGATGGTGATGATCTAAATATTTTTTTGATTCCCTCATTATATTTGTTTGTTTGATTCGTCGAAAAAAGCATCAAACAAACATCGATGTACACATTACCCAATCGTAGACACATTTTTT